TGGAAAAAATCTTTGCCGCAGTCTTTGATAATCGCCTAAATTTGCTTTGAACTTCAAACGAGGATATCTCCATAACTACCTGCTTAAAATCGATGAAATTTTTTTAATTTATTTCTATGAATGCTGAGAATTAAAAAAAAAAAAATTTCATTGATTTTAAATAGGTAGTTATCGAGATATTCTCGCTCTAATTTTGGAAAAATCTTTACCACAGTCTTTGATAATCGCCTAAATTTGCTTTGAACTTCAAACGAGGATATCTCCGTAAATACCTATTTAAAATCGATTAAATTTTTTTAATTTAATTCTATGGATGCTGAGAATTAAAAAAAAAAAAAAAGTCATATATTTAAAACTGGAAGTTATCAAGATATCCTCGTTTGAAATTAAGAGAAAATTTAGGCGATTATCGAAGACTGCGACAAGATTTTTTCTATACTTTGAGCAAGAATATCTTGATAACTACTTATCTATATTTAGACAGAGATAATCGAAGACTGTATGCAGGGTAAGTAACTATCTCCAAAAAGGAAACTTAATATGGATTTTATTATGTCAATTCATAACCGAAGGCTTTATGTATGCAGGGTAAAGTAATGTATGGATTTTATTATGTAATTCATACAAAATCGAAGGTTGTATGCAGGGTAAAGTAACTATCGCCAAAAAGGAAGTTTAATATACTTTTTGTTTTTTACGTATTCGGAAACTTAGAATATATGTACATATGTACGTACGTACGCATGCACTCAGGTAAAATTATTAGAGTGTAAAATTGAAGTCGCAGTAAAAAATGTATTTTGAATTCTTTATTAGGAATGTATGTATTAAATGCCCATCAGGTTTGCGAGAACATAATTGTGCAATTATGATTGTGTAAATATGTAAGCTTGCAAAAAAAAAGGAAAAAGGAAATTATAAATAGTGAATATAGTTGAAAAAAATGTATATAAATCGTGCTTTCCAACCTCAAGTAAAGATCAAACTTCAATCTGAATTTTAAATAAATATTATTCAGAATCGTCTTATATTTATTTCAATAAATTTCTGCCATCCCATTATAAATTATCTTAACAAAATTGAGTGAAAACAGTTCATCTGCCCAAATCTCTGGAACTAAAAAATGTGACGGCTGTCACACAGTAAAGAAAATTGAAGTTTTTTGCTGACCTCGTGGTGATAATCCGTTACATGAGCACGCGACCTGTAATACGTGCTCTAAAAGACGTAGTGAAAAAAGAAAACAAACAAATCAAACTAACTTTAATATGACAGTTCCGACTGTTAGCACTTCTAGTTCTAGTATTAATAATGCTTCAGACTTTCTCCAAATCAATAATATCCTTGAAAATTATAATCCTGAACCAGTATTAGAAGCTAATAATCTCTTTGATAATGAATTTGCAGATGTGGTAGAAATAACAGAACATGACGATGATGTTGATACACTTACATACTGCATGGACGAAGTAGAGCAATTCGTTTCTATGCAGTTTCAGAATGCTGAATCATCTGATGAACCTACAAAATTTGCATTTGAAATTGAATTAGATCCAGGGCTTTTAGATAGTGTTGCACTTAGCCAAGATCTTGAAACGAATCTATTAGATTTAGAGAGAATCAAAAATAGCTTTGCACAACTTACTAAAATTCTCATATTACCATTAGAATCTGGATCTAAATATTATTGGGAAGTGAGAAAATTATGTATAAACTTTAAAAGAAAAGAATTTGCAGGAAGTGCTACAGCATACCTCAATTGTGTATCACGCGAAGACCGAAGCTGGCAAAGACCAGATAACCAGGAGGTAAAAAGGCGAAGTGAAGCTCATGCTGCAATACAACGATTCTCTTGTAAAGGCAAAATTACAATTAATATGAATATAATTCAACAATGCGCAAGTGTACAATGTGAGCATTTGTGCTCACATGAACACCCATCATATCGACAAACAGAATTTCCAGAAGAAGCAAAACAATGGATTCAAAGGCATCTCAATTATAATTTACGAAGTTCAGAACTCTACAGGTATCTAATTGAGAATAAATTAATTAACATAATACATACAAAAGAACAAGTATATTACTGGGTATTAGTTTATAGTAAACAAACTTATATTACAAACCAAGATAACCAGCTTTTATCATCTAAAGCATATCTTGAACGGCCTGAAATTGCGGCTATAGGGTTTAAAATTCTTTCTTATTTTGATAATAATTTCGTACGTGCTTTAGGATTTTCTACTCCACTGCTTAATCGAATCGGTATAGAAAAGATAAATGAGATTGTAGTAGATTCTATATTTAAAACAAATCAAGAACGATTTGAACTGTTTGTTGTAAATGCTAACCGTAATGGATATGGCATGCCACTTGCATATTTATATTTATTAGTATCAGACAATCGTGAAGTAGATCATTATCCTGAAGATGGAGTTATTACCCGTGCACAAGTTCTTGAAAGATTCTTCATTAGCCTTCGCGAAGAAGGATTGCTACCTTCATTTGTACTATTGGATAAAGATATTGGTCAAATTTTAGCTGTTAGTGTAGCTTGGTTAAAAACAAACATTCAGTTATGCTATTGGCATTTGGAACATGCTATTAGAAGACGTTTGAAAGATAAAAAACCATGATCAAATACTTATACTAATACAAGAGCATTAGAAGCTCATCAACAGTTCAATTTCATAGATCCGTCGTGGATTCCAACTAGTAGTATTAAAAGTTTATGTCCTGAAGAAGCAATCAATAAAATTATTAGTATAATTAAACGGCATGCAAATATGCATCCATTAATTCCAATAGAAAAAAATGTTTTTTGGAATTCGGCACAGATATATTACCATTGCGTCCAAGAGATTTATTTTTTCTGTTATAATCGTGGGTATTGTGAATTGTGAGAATACTTTTGGTTAAATTGGTATAATAAGAAAGATTGGATAATGTTTGCTCACTCTTCTTATTCGCTTGCAATGCCTTTAGCCCGAACTACCATGATTACGGAAAGTCATTGACGAGTACTTAAGTACAAGTATAAATATAACTACAATAGGCCTCGACTTGACCGCCTTACCAATATTCTTGTTGAACAACTTGTGCCAGACTTCGACCTAATGTTGACCCACTATAACATAAGTCGGCATTTTCCATCTTGGTGGCAGGCCTTTAAAAAAGATTGGGATAAGGCTATGTCTGCAGATATCATGCCTAATATGGATGAAAGATATCAAGTAGACTTAGATAATTGGGTATGTTCTTGCCCAGTATATGTAAATAGCTGTTATCTTCTTTGCAAGCATTTAGTTGCAAAGAAGGGAAAAGATTTTTGGCCTACCTTTAATGAAACAACAAGGTGGCATGATTATCCATTTATTTTTTTTAGAAAAAATAAGCCTCCAGCAATTTTTCAACAAAATGATCCATGGAAAATAGCTAGGACGGCTATTCCAGAAGCAAATTCTGATCTTGAAAATCCTGTTGCAGAGGGTAGTTATTCAAGTGGCTTACGAAACACATCGATAATAGCACAGGAAAATAAAATAGAAGAGAGGCAAGAAAAATATATCTATTATAAAAAAAAATTCGAGAAGGCATTAGAATTGTATAAGAAAGAAATAGATAATGACAACTTTATAAAAAATTTTGATACTTTAGTAGGACCATTTGTAAAAGCAGTTGATGAATGCGAAGAAGCTTTACAGGCCCGTAGACAGCAAGGCACTCAAAAATCAAACAATAAAAAACTTGCCTTTTGGCTACGTTAGTTGATAAAATAATAACATATCCAACTTTATTACTGTAAACGCTTTATACTTATCTATTTCAATCCCAATTCCTAAATAATAACAATAACCAACTTGATCCATTCCGTTTGGATTATTCATCTCTGCAAATTTTTGATAATGAATGAATGCTTTATCCTCATCTTTTTCAACCCCAATTCCATGTTATCGATCAAGTTAGCGTACATTAGATTATATGTATTAGTATCTTAAGTAAACTAAAAATAAAAAATAAAAGTATATATATTAAATCATTACCATCAACCAAATTGACATGAATAAATTTAATATGAATAGATTATTTCAAGATAAATGAACGTTGTTATATTTACCAGATATATCAATAATCAAAGAAAAAAATTAATAAATTGATAATTAGATTATTACAAATTGCCAATAAATAAATAAATATTATATTTACCAAATGAATAAATTTGAGAAGGAAACATAATCTATCGGATAAATCAGCATACAGTAAGTAAAAGAAATTAGATTATTTTAAGTACCTTGATCGTTAAATATACTGGTGAAACAGCTTGAATAAAAGATTAAGAGGTAATTTATTGTCTATATTAGCATGAGTAAGAAATTAAATTATTAAATTATTGCAAATAGCTTAATAAATAAAACGTATACGTATAGTACTTGCCGGTTGAAAAAGAAATAAAAGTAGTTGAATATTTAGATAGTAAATAGTTGTTATTATCATGACTAAATTAACAGAAATAAAGAAATATATAAATATTATTATATTTACAATTAATATAAATAAAATAGTTGGCGAAACGAAGGGTTATACGCAATAAAAAGAGTTTTTTGCGTGAGCGTTAGTGTAAGAAAAATTGTTAAATAGTGGTTAACTCTGATTGGCCAGTAGGCGCAGATCATCATGTGGTTCGAGTAGAATCTCACTTACCCGACACTTTTTTTCGCCATGGCTAGGGTACTATCTAGTATGCACGGATTTGCAGATCATATATGATCACGTGGGTGGACAGACAGACAAAAATTGGCTAATGACCTGAACATATAAGTCCTCCGCTTCGCTCCGGACAATTATGCTAGCAGCAGAATTTGGCATAATTTGATTCGGAATTTTTAAGGTTAGAGTTGGGATTTTTAGTATAACTATTCCATTCTAATCTAAGTGGATTCCGAATCTATATATTTATAATTCTATTCCTACTTAAGTATGTATATACAATATATATAATATTAAATACAAACAATTATGTTTAAATAACTGTAAAATTTATTAATTATCACGGCTGATGCTAAAATTGACTAATGCTGAAATTTGAACCCATTTTGATATGAAATTTTTAGGGTGTTTTTTTTTTTCTTTTTTTAGTTAAATTAGAGTTTGGGTTAGAATTGATAATTAAAGAGTATACGTAGATTTTAGCAGGGTTTATACTGTATTTTCAAAGCATTAGACCCCAAATTCAACATCAGCCGTAACATTATTTAAAAAAAAAAGTTTTTTTAAGAAGTTATTAGCATAAATAGCATAATTTAATGCAATTAGCAAGCATAATTTAACATTTTTAGCAGTATAATTCTGAACACTCTAGTCATAGTATATTAACATTTTCTCATCATTTTTTTTCTTACCGTTTTTTTTTTCTTCTTTTCTGCCCATTACTTTGTTCATTGTACTGTTCACTTCCCATAGGTTTGGAGAAGTTAGGTTGTTTTGGTGATTCCGGTCTGACCGGGTGAATTACTAATCAGTCACCCTGTGTGGTTACACTCAACTTTTTTTTTCAGCATCGTGTTTTCTCATGTCTATGAAATTGAAATTACTGATTAGTACTTTTTTTTTATTTCTGTTTTATATATTAGTCTTTGCCTTGAAAATCACCCTCCGACATTTCCGATCGGGCTAATTTGGACAAAATCAAACCCGTGTATTAGTTCATGTTTATATGTAAATCCCCTTTGTATTTATTGATTCAATAGGTTATCGAATAAACTATTGAATCAATAAAGGCAAAGGAGGTTTATATATAAACATGAGCTAATACTCGGGTTTAATTTCGTCTGAATTAACCCGATCGGAAATGTCGGAAGGTGATTTTCAAGGCAAAGACCCCACATCATCAATATAGTATTTTATCATTTCAAGATCTTTTTAAAAGATTAGGAAAAAATGAATTGAAAAAATAATCAAATATACTCTTGTCTATATTGTACTCTTTCTTTGTAGATTTAGTTTTTTTTTTTTTTAAATTCACAAATTTAAACTCCTTTGGATTACATTACGCAAACCTCCTTGTGGTTTGACCTAGATGTTGAGCAATTTGTTCAATGACTAATGTGCATCATTATCACTAACAATATAAACTTATTTTTTTAAAGCTTCGAACTCGAGTTGTATAAATTTATGAAATTCCTTTAAGAGTATTGCTAATTTGCCCCCCCCTGGTTATATAACCACCCTCTTTATGCTATCTTAAAAACTAGACTAAATAACTACATTTGATGTATTAAGTAAAAATGTTCAGCACATTAAAAAACCCTATACAGGCTTTAATTCTAACCCTAAACCTAATCTTTATACTAATTTTAATTGACTTTTACTAAAACGCACCTATGGTGTTTTACACCTATCTATACGTTATCTCAAAAAACTAGCTAATTAATCAGTGCGAGTTATTCTAAGTAAAAAATGTTCTATGCTCCTAAAAACCCTTCCAAAATCCTTACTTTAACACTAAGTACAAATCTTAATGTAAAAACTTTGTTAAATTTTTATATACAAACCTTAGAAAAATATAAAAAATATAATAAAAACATATAATAGGTGTAAAACACCATAGGTGCATTTTATAATAATTGATCTGTGACCTATAGCACATCTTTTAACTTAATATATATTAACAAAATATATAATAAAAATACAGTATATAAACTAAATATTCACATTTAGCATAGTAACCAGAAACTATTTAGCAATTATAACAACTAGTATTCTAGTAAAGAGAATTTTTTCTGGGAAAGTTAATCTAGTTGTCTCAAAAAGATGTAGGTTTGAACCAGATACTCGTACGAAAATGATTACGTTGTGGAATTTATCATTAACAAGTTAGTATTTCAAGTGTGGAATTGATCATTACAAGTTTAGTAATTCAAGTGTAGAATTGATCATTCAAGTGTGAAACTGATCATTAACAAGTTAAATGTGGAATTGTTTTGAATTAATGATCATTGGATAATTTATAATTTCATATTCTCGATATAGTGAAGATTTTTAATTACGGAATTATTAAACTTCAACTCGATATACTGTAGTGATGTACATATAATATTCCCGATATAAATTATTATGAAGTTTTTTTTCTCGAACTGATAACTTCACTATAACGAGAGTGAGTTGTATTATTGGTATAGAAATATAATCAAACAATAATTTCCTCTTAATATTATCGTAGGATATCAAAAATCTAATTTGTGCATAAATTATAAAATTGGCAATTCCACAATTTCACACGATTTGGAATTGTAGAATTACTAGAATTATCAGTAATTCCACACTTATGGAATTGTGGAATTGTTAAAATTGCTAATGTATCGATTCCACTGTTGTGGAAGTCATCTTCTATTGTGCAATAGGTAATAATTTAACCTATCGGCAAAATGGATTCTCCTAACTTCACCTGAAAATCATTCACTGACAGCTCTTTAGCCGACATCACACAAAATGTCAATTTATTTATCAGCTATCGGCTAAATGAATCCGCCTTATTTTACCTGAAAATCATTCATTGACAACTCATTTAGCCGACATCACGCCAAGTAATAATTTATTAAAATGTATACCTGCAACACAGGGACGATGGTTTTCTGTGGGTTATTTTTAAAAATAAATAAATATCTGTCGGCTAAATGAACTTTCGTAGAGGTCCATCCGGATAAATCCGATAAATCCGTCATCCATTTATCCATATTTGAATTTATCCGGATATCCATTTACTATTGGTATCCGGATAATCCGGCAAATATTTGGATAATTATCCGGATATCAATAGTAAAACGGATATCCGAATAAATTCAGACCTGGACATCCAATAGAATAGGAAAATAGAACCTACATATGGGCTGATTTTTGGAATTTATAAGTAGTGTTTATTTTTTAAAAATTTCAAAGCTAAATAATTTTCGATATACTGGTCTGTTTTAAATAATTTTGCTACCAAAATGTTCTTCTCTTTGCAACAAATCCAACAAGCCCAAAATCATCAAAATCCAATTACAGGATCGTGAGATAATGCGTCATCAAATAGTGACGCACCTTGAGAGTGGGGTTAATTGGTTAGACATAGGTCTAACCAATCAACCCCAACCTATAGGAGCATCATCATTTGATAGCACATTATCTCGCGATCCTGTGATTAGATTTCGATGATTTTGGGCTTATTAGAATCGTCTCAAAGAGAAGAACATTTTGGTAACAAAATTATTTAAAACAAACCAGTATATCGAAAGTTATTTAGCCTTGAAATTTTTAAAAAATAAACACTACTTATAAATTCCAAAAATCAGCCCATATGTGTAGCTGGTTGCTGGTGCTATTTGGCCAAAGTATCAGCTGCATTGTTAAGTTGGTTATTTGAATTTGCTTGGACTTTGTGTAGTGTGAGCTGGATATTAAATACCTGAGTAGCATTGAGGAGTATATGCCAAATAGGCTAGTAGTTAAACTTGAACCGTTTGAAAGAATTGGAAGAGGTGTGCAGGAGTTTGTAGTACTTGGATATGATAGATTGAGAGTCTGTGAATATATCAACTTTGGCATTTCGAGGTAGTGTTGCAATAGCTGATA